TCACCCACGTTATGTACACTTCCGTTCTAGACCCCTGGGTCACCCACGTTATGTACACTTCCGTTCTAGACCCCTGGGTCACCCACGTTATGTACACTTCCGTTCTAGACCCCTGGGTCACCCACGTTATGTACACTTCCGTTCTAGACCCCTGGGTCACCCACGTTATGTACACTTCCGTTCTAGACCCCTGGGTCACCCACGTTATGTACACTTCCGTTCTAGACCCCTGGGTCACCCACGTTATGTACACTTCCGTTCTAGACCCCTGGGTCACCCACGTTATGTACACTTCCGTTCTAGACCCCTGGGTCACCCACGTTATGTACACTTCCGTTCTAGACCCCTGGGTCACCCACGTTATGTACACTTCCGTTCTAGACCCCTGGGTCACCAACGCAATGTACACTTCCGTTGTAGACCCCAGGATCACCCACGTAATGTACACTTCCGTTGTAGACCCAAGGTTCACCCACGTAATGTACACTTCCGTTGTAGACCCCAAATTCACCCACGTAATGTACACTTCCGTTGTCGACCCCAGGTTCACCCACGTTATGTACACTTCCGTTCTAGACCCCTGGGTCACCCACGTTATGTACACTTCCGTTCTAGACCCCTGGGTCACCAACGCAATGTACACTTCCGTTGTAGACCCCAGGATCACCCACGTAATGTACACCTTCGTTGTAGACGACTGGGTCACCCACGCAGTTTACATTTCCGTTGTAATCGCCAGGGTCACCCACGCAATGTACACTTCCATTGTATACCCGAGGGTCACCAACACAATGTACACTTCCGTTGTAGACCCGAGGGTCACCAACACAATGTGCACTTCCGTTGTAGACCCGAGGGTCACCAACACAATGTACACTTCCGTTGTGGACCCCTGGGTCATCCATGAAATATAAACTTCCTTCGCATCGCAAATGACCTCAAGGTCACTGACGACAGATAAAGCTTCGTTGTTATTAGACCCCGAGGTTAATATCAACAGATAACTCTTCCATTGTTATGTGCCATACCGCAGAGTCACTAACAACAATACATTTACAACACCGGACCACTTGACGGTATTTTTTGGGTCTTTGCCAATAGTTAAACATAACACTTCGTTGTAACATTGACTAGTGACCTAAACGTACTCGCACAACCTATATCTGTGACCTTATCACTGAGGTCTAAAAATACTTTTTTTGAAAACATCCTACAAGGAGGACAAGTGATATGGTCTAAATGAGATGTTTAAATCCTTGTCAACTTATCAGTAAGATAGAGAAGGTGGGGGATATGGGTTACGATTCACCTACCACATTCATGTTACACTCCTACAATATATCAGCTTTGGACAAATAGTTGTTGAAAAAATAAATACTGGATAACGTTTTAAGAAAACATGTCACAAACCCTATACTTTCACTTAATTACGTTATAAAAAGTGTCTGCATACACATTGAATAATAACTGAGAACAATTAAAAATATCTTTGTAAATCCCAGAGCAGTTCATGAGTTATCTCTCATACGATAGCTTGTGCACGAGATAGAAAGAAATTACGGCAACGGAAAGATTGAGCATGTAAAGCGGGCCGGTGTCCTTCATGTAAAGCGGGCCGGTGTCCTTCATGTAAAGCGGGCCGGTGAAATTCATGTAAAGCGAGCCGGTGTCTTTCATGTAAAGCGGGCCGGTGTCCTTCATGTTAAGCGGGCCGGTGTCCTTCACGTAACACGGGCCGTTGTCCTTCATGTAACGCGGGCCGGTGTAATTCATGTAAAGCGGGCCGGTGTCCTTCATGTTAAGCGGGCCGGTGTCCTTCATGTAACGCGGGCCGTTGTCCTTCCTGTAAAGCGGGCCGGTGTAATTCATGTAAAGAGGGCCGGTCTCCTTCATGTAAAGCGGGCCGGTCTCCTTCATGTAAAGCGGGCCGGTGTAATTCATGTAACGCGGGCCGGTGTAATTCATGTAAAGCGGGCCGGTGTAATTCATGGCCGGTGTCCTTCATGTAAAGCGGGTCGGTCTCCTTCATGTAAAGCGGGCCGGTGTAATTCATGTAACGCGGGCCGGTGTCATTCATGTAACGCGGGCCGGTGTCCGTCATGTAAAGCGGGCCGGTCTCCTTCATGACGGAGATAACAAAGGAGTTGAAAACACTGTTTGAGGATCTCTATAGTGACAAGCCAATGTTTTTGCTCAAAACTGAAGTAAAGCATCGAGGATCAAACCGAACTAAAGCTAGATTCCGACTTTGAACAGTTGTTGCTTGACATGGCAAGTAGGTTACCCGAATGTCGTGATGCTTAACCAACCTTAGCCCGTTGTGAAGTACTGTGAAACAGCAATATTGCTTATTATCAAATTTTCGGATGCAGTAGGGAGCACAATCAGGGGTAATTTTGTTATCTATATATTATTCAATTAAAACTTGGTAATAATGCAAATTGTGACAACTCAACAAGTTGATTTGTAGCTGATTTACAAATAAATACAGTCGGTGCGTTTCTGTGGTAGAAGAAACTGATCTAGTTATTGCAAGGTTTGGTGAAATGCCATTGCGAAGATGGGGACTTTTGTAAGTCTAACACCAGACTAGTAACAACAACACACAAGTTTGAGTTAGTAGAGATTTATGTAAGTCTAACACCAGACTAGTAACAACTACACACAAGAGTGACTTAGTAGAGATTTGGGGGAGTCTAACACCAGACTAGGTAAGTCTAACACCAGAGTAGTAACAACAACACACAGGTGTGAGTTAGTAGAGATTTATGTTAGTCTAACACCAGACTAGTAACAACAACTCACAAGTTTGAGTTAGTAGAGATTTATGTCAGTCTAACACCAGCCTATAGTAACAACAACAGACAAGTGTGACTTAGTAAAGATTTATGTAAGTCTTACACCAGACTATAGTAACAGCAGCACACAAGTGTGACTTAGTCGAGATTTATGTAAGTCTTACACCAGACTATAACACCAGACTAGTAACACCAACACACAAGTGTGACCTAGTAGAGATTTATGTACGTCTACGCCAGACTATAGCAACAACAACACACAAGTTTGAGATAGTAGAGATTTATGTAATTTTAACACCAGACTAGTACAACAACACACAAGTGCAACAACACACAAGTGTGAAGTAGAGATTTATGTAAGCCTAACACCAGACTATAGTAACAGCAGCACACAAGTGTGACTTAGCACAGATTTATGTAAGTCTTAAACCAGACTATAGTAACAGCAGCACACAAGTGTGACTTAGTCGAGATTTATGTAAGTCTAATACCAGACTAGTAACAACTACACACAAGTGTGACTTAGTAGGGATTTATGTAAGTCTAATACCAGACTAGTAACAACAACCCACAAGTGTGACTTAGTCGAGATTTATGTAAGTCTTACACCAGACTATAACACCAGACTAGTAACACCAACACACAAGTGTGACGACTTAGTAGAGATTTACGTAAGTCTAACACCAGACAATAGTAACAACGACACACAAGTGTGACTTAATAAAGATTTATGTAAGTCTTAAACCAGACTATAGTAACAGCAGCACACAAGTGTGACTTAGCACAGATTTATGTAAGTCTTAAACCAGACTATAGTAACAGCAGCACACAAGTGTGACTTAGGAAAGATTTATGTAAGTCTTACACCAGACTATAACACCAGACTAGTAACACCAACACACAACTGTGACTTAGTAGAGATTTGGGGGAGTCTAACACCAGACTAGTACAACAACACACAAGTGTTGCTTAGTAGAGATTTATGTACGTCTAACACCAGACTAGAAACAACAACACACAAGTGTGGCTTAGTAGAGATTTATGTCAGTCTAACACCAGCCTATAGTAACAACAACAGACAAGTGTGACTTAGTAAAGATTTATGTAAGTCTTACACCAGACTATAACACCAGACTAGTAACACCAACACACAAGTGTGACGACTTAGTAGAGATTTAGGTAAGTCTAACACCAGACAATAGTAACAACGACACACAAGTGTGACTTAGGAAAGATTTATGTAAGTCTTAAACCAGACTATAGTAACAGCAGCACACAAGTGTGACTTAGTCGAGATTTATGTAAGTCTTAAACCAGACTATAGTAACAGCAGCACACAAGTGTGACTTAGCACAGATTTATGTAAGTCTTACACCAGACTATAACACCAGACTAGTAAAAACAACACACAAGTGTGTCTTAGTAGAGATTTATGCAAGTCTAACACCAGACTAGTAACAATAACACATAAGTTTGAGTTAGTAGATATTTATGTAGGTCTAACACCAGACTAGTAACTACAACACACAAGTGTGACCTAGTAGAGATTTATGTACGTCTAACACCAGACTAGTAACAATAACACATAAGTTTGAGTTAGTAGAGATTTATGTACGTCTAACACCAGACTAGTAAAAACAACACACAAGTGTGAAGTAGAGATTTATGTAATTTTAACACCAGACTAGTACAACAACACACAAGTGCGACATAGTAGAGATTTATGTACGTCTAACACCAGACTATAGTAACAGCAGCACACAAGTGTGACTTAGTCGAGATTTATGTAAGTCTAGCACCAGACTATAGTAACAGCAGCACACAAGTGTGACTTAGTCGAGATTTATGTAAGTCTTACACCAGACTATAACACCAGACTAGTAACTACAACACACAAGTGTGAAGTAGAGATTTATGTAAGCCTAACACCAGACTATAGTAACAGCAGCACACAAGTGTGACTTAATAAAGATTTATGTAAGTCTTACACCAGACTATAACACCAGACTAGTAACTACAACACACAAGTGTGAGTTAGTAGAGATTAATGTAAGTCTAACCCCAGACTAGTAACAACAACCCACAAGTGTGACTTAGTCGAGATTTATGTAAGTCTAGCACCAGACTATAGTAACAGCAGCACACAAGTGTGACTTAGCACAGATTTATGTAAGTCTTACACCAGACTATAACACCAGACTAGTAACACCAACACACAAGTGTGACGACTTAGTAGAGATTTAGGTAAGTCTAACACCAGAGTAGTAACAACAACACACAGGTGTGAGTTAGTAGAGATTTACGTAAGTCTAACACCAGAATGTAGTATCAACAACACGCAAGTGTGATTTAGTAGAGATTTATGTCAGTCTAACACCAGCCTATAGTAACAACAACAGACAAGTGTGACTTAGTAAAGATTTATGTAAGTCTTACACCAGACTATAACACCAGACTAGTAAAAACAACACACAAGTGTGACTTAGTAAAGATTTATGTAAGTCTTAAACCAGACTATAGTAACAGCAGCACACAAGTGTGACTTAGTAGAGATTTATGTAAGTCTACGCCAGACTATAGTAACAACAACACACAAGTGTGACTTAGTAGAGATTTATGTAAGTCTAACACCAGACTATAGTAACAACAACACACAAGTGTGACTTAGCAGAGAGTTATGTGAGTCTAACACCAGACTATAGTAGCAACAACACACAAGTGTGACTTAGTAGAGATTTATGTAAGTCTAACAACAGACTAGTCACAACAACACCCAAGTGTGACTTAGCAGAGATTTATGTAAGTCTAACACCAGACTATAGTAGCAACAACACACAAGTGTGACTTAGTAGGGATTTATGTAAGTCTAACACCAGACTATAGTAACAACAACACACAAGTGTGACTTAGCAGAGATTTATGTCAGTCTAACACCAGACTATAGTAGCAACAACACACAAGTGTGACTTAGTAGAGATTTATGTAAGTCTACGCCAGACTATAGTAACAACAACACACAAGTGTGAGTTAGTAGAGATTTATGTAAGTCTAACACCAGACTAGTAACAACTACACACAAGTGTGACTTAGGAGAGATTTATGTAAGTCTAACACCAGACATGTAACAACAGCACACAAGTGTGACTTAGTAGAGATTTATGTAAGTCTAACACCAGACTCTAGTAACAACAACACACAAGTGTGAGTTAGTAGAGATTTATGTAAGTCTAACACCAGACTAGTAACGACAACACACAAGTGTGACTTAGTAGAGATTTATGTAAGTCTACGCCAGACTATAGTAACAACAACACACAAGTGTGACTTAGCAGAGGTTTATGTAAGTCTAACACCAGACATGTAACAACAACACACAAGTGTGACTTAGCAGAGGTTTATGTAAGTCTAACACCAGACATGTAACAACAACACACAAGTGTGACTTAGTAGAGATTTATGTAAGTCTACGCCAGACTATAGTAACAACAACCCACAAGTGTGACTTAGTAGAGATTTATGTAAGTCTACGCCAGACTATAGTAACAACAACCCACAAGTGTGACTTAGTAGAGATTTATGTAAGTCTACGCCAGACTATAGTAACAACAACCCACAAGTGTGACTTAGTAGAGATTTATGTAAGTCTACGCCAGACTATAGTAACAACAACCCACAAGTGTGACTTAGTAGAGATTTATGTAAGTCTACGCCAGACTATAGTAACAACAACCCACAAGTGTGACTTAGTAGAGATTTATGTAAGTCTAACATCAGACTAGTAACAACAACACACAAGTGTGACTTAGCAGAGGTTTATGTAAGTCTAACACCAGACATGTAACAACAGCACACAAGTGTGACTTAGTAGAGATTTATGTAAGTCTAACACCAGACTAGTAACAACTACACACAAGTGTGACTTAGGAGAGATTTATGTAAGTCTAACACCAGACATGTAACAACAACACACAAGTGTGACTTAGCAGAGGTTTATGTAAGTCTAACACCAGACATGTAACAACAACACACAAGTGTGACTTAGCAGAGGTTTATGTAAGTCTAACACCAGACATGTAACAACAGCACACAAGTGTGACTTAGTAGAGATTTATGTAAGTCTAACAGCAGACTAGTAACAACAACACACAAGTGTGACTTAGAAGAGATTTATGTAAGTCTAACAGCAGACTA